GTATATAATATTAGGCCGATAGGCTATAAACTTAAACAAAATTTTTTTAGAATCAATACTTATTAATCTGCTATCATTTAGATGATATAAGACCGATAGCCTACTAACTATATATATTAACTATATATTTTTTAAGTATCAACCAAATATTTTTTAAATATCGACCAAATATTATTAAATTATCTGTTTAATATTATTTAAATATCTGCTAAATATCTGCTAAATATCTGCCAAATATTGTTTAATGATTTGCAAAATTTTATTAAATAGTTATTATAATATCAGCCTATGATTAATCAAATCATTTAATCATCATTTAAATATCTTATTAATATCTTCTTTATCTTTTTAAAGATTAACTAATCATCTTTACGATAAATAGATATTTTTATCTGGTATTAAACTGATATGTAACATTTTTTACTAAAATCTTCAGCCTATCAGCTTTTTTTATATCTAATCAATCGGTTTATAGCCAACATCCTATCAGCCTGCTATCATCATAGGCGATATTAGATGATATGATGATGATATTTTTGATTTTGACCTGTGATATATGTACGTATATATATACGTACTTAACTTTTACATTAACAGTTAACATATGGGAAGATTTTTTTGTGTTACTTTCAAAAATGATTTAATTTTGGTCAAATTTGCAGATTATTTGGCCCTGGCCTATCAGTTTTAAAACTGATAAACCAGAGCCAAATGATCTGCAAATTTGACCAGAATTAGATCATTTTTGAAAGGAACAAAAAAATCTGTCCAAATAACTAATGCACTGGCACATGATTATTGCACCTGCATCATGAAAGTTTTGTCAACACACTCTTTAAAGTTTTAACCAATATTATTTACATATAAAAATTATACTATATATCAAAAACTTATATATAAAAAATTATGCAAATTTCTAATATAAAAAGATAAATAATAATTTGTTTTATAAATAATTTTAACATTGTAAATGTCAACAAGTTCAAATATTATTAAATTTTCATTTAAATACTTATTCAACACATTTAGTATATTTAGTTTATGCAAAAATATATATATATATTTTGTGTATCAAATTAGAATCTGCATCAGATTAAAATCATTATAATTCTATTAATACAGTATCTAGTATATAGTGCTAAACAAAAGTTTCTTTGCACCTATATCTGCTTACAAAGAGGTGCTACAGTCTTGAAACTTTTCAAAAACTTAGTAAATAGTTAGTCTAGGTGGTGTATTTTTTTTGGTAATTTTTCAATTACTAAAAAAAATTTAGATGAGATTATAAAAAATTAAAAAATTAATTGGGTTCAATTAAAAATTAACAAAAAATCAAGATCATATTTAAAAATTCTAAATGTTTAGTATGCTAAAGTTTAATAGTTTTTATATTAGTAACAAAAAATTTGACTCAATTTGATGAAATAGTTATTGAAAAATTAATTTTTAAAGTTTAAATTTTATTGTTATTTTATTTTGTTTAAAAAAATTTAGAATAAACAGGTTATTACTAATTTTACTATATAATTTACAATAAATTTTATAGTAAAATTAATAAAAATCTGTTTATACCAAATTTTTTTAAACAGAATAAAATGACAATAAAATTTAAACTTTAAAAATTAATTTCTTAATAACTATCTTATCAAATTGAGTCAAATTTTTTGTCACTAATATAAAACTATTAAACTTTAGTATATTAAACATTTAGAATTTTTAAATATGATTTTGATTTTTTGTTAATTTTTAATTGAATCCAATTAATTTTTTAATTTTTTATAAAAAAATTATTCAAAATTTTAGCTTTCATCTAAAATTTTTTTTAGTAATTAAAAAATTACCAAAAAAAATACACCACCTAGGCTAACTATTTACTAAGTTTTGGAAAGTTTCAAGGCTATAGCACCTCTCTGTAAGCAGATATAGGAGCAGAGAAACTTTTGTTTAGCATTGTAAGCACTCACTCTAATCTTAACAAAACTCTGCATTTAAATTTTAATCTGATACAAATTTTAATCTAATACATGACATATATATCGATATCAAATTACAAAATTACAATGTAATATATAATATATGAACTGTAATTTACATATGTACAAATTATGCTAAAATCAATAACTTACAGCTATTATCATTATTTCTGAAACACCTGAAGAATTTTCAGATAACCAAAATATCCTTTGTTTTATTTGGTAAATTTTCTAACTTTCTGGAAATTACATCACTGTCTTCAGACTGAAGGTCTAAAAATTACATCACTGTCTTTAGACTGAAAGTCTGGAGACAAAAATATAGTTTCTGAGAAGTTAGATAATTTACCAAATAAAATAGAGAATATTTTGGTCATCTAAAAATTCCTTAGATGTCTCAGAAATAATGATAATAGCTGTAACTGAAAACCCATTTAGATCAATTTTTATTATATGTTCTAGAAATTATAAAAATAGCTATAATATATTAAGAACCAGAAACCAATATAAGTCTGGAGCCTATAACAGTAATTAATTAATAGCCCTAAACTCTGAAAAATCTGGTCATGTATATCACAGATCAAAATTTTCAGGGATGTTACAAACAGAAAATGCTGAAACTATATTTTTGTTATTATGATTATATATACATCAAAATCATAATTTCAGTCATCAAAGCTCATAAACATATAAGTCCTCTGCTTTACTTCAGACAATAAATTTTAAATTTCACAATTTAGCTTTTATAACATAGCCAGGTTATGAAAATCAATTCATAAAGTTTATATAGCCTTAGTACTTTTTATAAGCATCTAAGCATATATTTATCACCCGTTAACTAGGACTAAATTATGCATATATGCATATTGCTTTCCAATCTAGATATAACAACTAGAGTTTAAGAGTTGCTGATAAAACTGGTAACTATCTAAAATCTAATTGGCAATTATATACATCTTAAATGAAAAGCATTTTTTCTTATAGAAGATCAAATTATTGTACTTATTAAACAAGCTAATATATATACCAAATCAATTTTGTAAAAAAAAAAAAAAACTTAATTAGTAATCTACGAGTTAGCCAGAGAGTGATCATAGTAAAATGTGACTCAGATTACTATATAAATTTACTATAGTGCGAATGTGGCTTACACGAATCTAAAACTTTTTTTTATATTAAGTTAATCATCCTTCTTGCTTAAGAGACTTTTGTAGAGCTTACCAATTAATTCAATTTATTGTAAAAAGTATAAATACAAGATTTTAAAATAAAAGGCTTGCTATGAATTAGACCCAATGTGAACCACAGAATCTTATTCATCAAATGCAGTTTTTTCAATTAGCCAGACTTCTATTATAAATATAAAGTGTATGCACTTTAAATTTTTTCTTTTCACAATATAACCTCTTAGTGCGTACTAGACCCGGGATCTACTTTTGCAATATATATCCAGATTTAATCCAGAAAATATCAGAAAGTCGATTTGCTAAATTTTGGTAGTATCATTAACATTGAGTTTGGACAAAGCTACAAAATATTTGCGGCTCCCTATGTTGAAAAACTAGATATTTTACAATTATTAGGTTTTAAATTATAAAAATTATAAATAAATGAGAATTGTAAATTTCTGCACTTTATTTGAAAAATTACTTGGTGAATATTAAATATAATATATTAAATTAGAATTTCTTATAATTAATATACACTTTTACTAAAACGCATCTATGGTGTTTTACTACTTATGTTATATTATCTCAAAAACTAGCTAATTAATCGATGTGAGATGTTCTAAATAAAAATGTTCTATGCCCCAAAAACCCTTCTCAAACCTAATTCTAACCTTAATATTAATTTTAACGTGAAAAAATTGATGTTAAAAATTTTATATACAAAATTTATAAAAACTTAGAAAATTTTAAAAAACATAATAAAAACATATAATAGGTGCAAAACCACTATAGATACATTTTATACATCAGCAAAATATTATGCAATGAATGTCATTGCATAATGAATATCGTTGCATAACGAACATCATTACATAACAAACATCGTTGCATAATGAACATCGTTGCATAACGAACATCGTTGCATAATAAACATCGTTGTATAATGAAAAAAAAAATACCAAACCACCTGCTTTATATCAAAAAGTCTGACTTCACCACGACGAAAACTTTACCACAAAGACAACAATACTAATAACATTATCAATGAACAAATCTTCATATAAAGATGATGACATTAGTGACGAAAACTTCACCAGCAGCAATAACACCAATGACGAAACTTCACTATCCAAGGAAAATAACACCAACAACAAAGATAATGATGACACCAACGACGAAACTTTATCACCAAGAAGGATGCTAACAATAGCAAAGCAATTTCAATAACAATATGACGATTCTGAAATTAAAGCTAAAGAAAAAAAAAATTATTAGATTATAAAAAAAAAAAAACGAAGAAAACCAAAAAAAAAGAAAAAGCCAAAAGAAGAAACAAAAAAAAAACAAATAATGAAAGAAAAACAAAAGAGAAAAAAAAACAGAAGAAAAAGAAAAAGAAAAAAACACAAGAAAAAACTAAAGAATAAAAGAACAAATAAACAAAAGAAATCAGAAGAGCAAAAAAAGAACAGACAAGAAATGAAAAAAAAAACAAAGAAAAAAAAAACAAGAGAGCGAAAAAAAAAAAAAAACAAAAAAAAAAACAAAAAGGAAAAAAAAAAAACAAAAAAAAGAAAGAAAAAAAAAAAAAAAGACAAAAAAAGAGAAAAAGTAAAAATAAAAAGAACAAAAAAAAAAAAGATAAAAGAAAAATGAAAAAAGACAAAAGAAAAAACAAAAGAAAAGACAAAAAAAAAAAAGAAAAAAAGATATAAAAAAAAGAAAAAAAAAACAGAAAAAAAGATGAAAAAAAAGATAGAAAAAAAAAACAGAAAAAAAGATAAAAGAAAGACAAAAGAAAAAATAGAAGAAAAAATGAAAGAAAAGACAGAAGAAAAAATAGAAGAAAAAACAGAAGAAAAAACAGAAGAAAAGACAAAAGAAAAGACAGAAAAAAAAACAGAAAAAAAAAAACAGAAAAAAAGACAAAAAAAGATGAAAGAAAAAACAAAAGAAAAATCTAAAATAAACAAAAAATTAAAGACAAAAAAAAAATCAAAAATGAAAAAAAAAAATGCAAAAAAGAAAAAAAAATGTAAAAAAAGAAAAAAAAAAGTATGAAAGAAAAAAAAATCCCAAAAAAAAAGATAAGAAAAAAACAAACAAAACTACAAAGAAAGCAAAACAACAAAAAAAGCAAAGCAGCAAAGAAAAGAAAAACAAAGCAACAAAGAAAAACAAAACAATAAAGAAAAACAAAGCAAAAGAAAAGTAAAGAAAAGCAACATAGCAAAGAATAACAAAGTAACAAAAAAGCAAAGCAGCAAAGTAAAGCAAAATGGCAAAGAAAAGCAAAGCAGCAAAGAAAAGTAAAACGACAAAGAAAAGCAAAGCAGTAAAGAAAAGTAAAGTGGCAAAGTGTCAAACAAAAACAAAAAGTATGATTATCAATTGTTTATATGTGATCGGCAATCTTAAAAATGATTAACTAATCATATAAGAGCATAGTCACTAAATAAATCGAAATAATTTGAAATAATTCAATTTATTTAGAGACTCATTGTACTGTGTCTCTTATATGATTGGCAATCTCAAAATAATTAGCCAATCATATAAAGATGTAGTGCAACAGGTCGCTAAATAAATCGAATTATTTCAAATTAATTTGATTTATTTAGCAATTTGTTATACTGCAACCCTTATATGATCAGCTATTCATTTTTAGATTGCCAATCATATAAGGGATGCAGTGCAACAAGTCTCTAAATAAATCAAAATAATTCAAAATAATTTGAATTATTTAAAGACTCGTTGTACTGCATCCCTTATATGATTAGCAATCTCAAAAATATTAGCTGATCATATAACAACAGGTTGCTAAATAAATCGAATTATTTCGAATTAATTTGATTTATTTGGCAATCTGTTGCACTATACCCTTATATGATCGGCTAATCATTTTTGAGATTGCCAATCATATAAGGGATGCAGTGCAATGAGTCGCTAAATAAATCAAATTAATTCGAATTATTTTGAATTAATTTAAGTTTACATTATTTACTTCAACCCTTTTCATAATAATTCTATCAACTTATTTAATATATTTATTTTAAACTTCAAAATATTTCTTTTGTAATAATCTCAAATTATTGCGAAATATAGCACAATATCTTATGTAATATTTCATAATTGTATATTTCGCTTTATTGTACAATATTTTGTATAATATTACAGCTATTTTACATTGCATAATTTATTGCGCAATATTATGCTCTATTAAATTTGCTGATGTAATATATAGTTATTGTATAGAATTAAAAGTATGCATGATACAATAACAGTATTATCATATAGTAGTTATTGATAACTATACTTCTATATCATATTCATAATTACGTTATCAAATTAAACTACGTGAGTATATAAATTATATTTTTTTAATTAACTTTTTTTCAGATTATTTTAAAGACTGAAAAAAAAGATGATAAAACAGTGATAACATAAACTATACAAATATGAGAATTTTTAGTATAGTCATCAATAACATGGCTATACGATAATAAGTAATAGTTATTTCATGTTTTATCATAGATATCATTAAACATCACGGATTAGTCTCGATATTATGCAGTATTGTGGTGTAGCCACAATGATGCATGATATCGAGACTGATCCGTGATGTTTAATGATGTCGACGACAAATACGTGTAATAACTGATTTATTACACGGATCCTAACACTCATGACTTTATAACTATTATTTTCCACAAGACTTTCACGGCTTTTCTTCACACAAAATAAAATTTCTTTCTTTTAAGATTCCTTTCTTGGCTATGTTCTTTAAAGATAATTTACGAAAAACCATAATACAATCTGAAAAGAACGACAAAAAAGAAAGTTTGCTGTGAAAATATCAGCAAAAAAAGTTATGGGTGAACAATTAGGAGCCGTGTAATAATTGTTAATATATATCGATATATTATACATATAAATAATCTACTAAAAAATTTTTTACATTAATAACTACAAAAAATTTTTTGACTTTCTTGAAGTCCTGTCCCTAATTCATATCAAATCCGTTGCAATCTTTTATTACCTTATAAGCAGAGTTGGCAATGGAACCAATGGAGCTCAATAGTTGTGAGAATAGAGCTCAAAAAACTAGTATTCATTGGCTCCATTCAAAGCTTCATTGGTTCCATTCGCAACTCCATTAGGCTCCATTGAACTCCATTGCAAACCCTGCTTATAATAGGGATTGGAACCGCCTAAAATTTTTCTTAATCGTTTAATCATTTAACTAGTGTTCCGCATGATTCGGACCGGTCGGGTATTTTTAAAGATTCAGACCCAGTCCGAACATTGATTCGGATCCGAACTTGTATCACTTAGATCCAGGTCCGGTCCGGATCCGTGAAATTTCAAAATTTATAGATGCTATAGTTGATGAAGCCCTAGTGTCCACGCTAAAAAAAAAACGATTACAGCTGTTTTCATAAATTCTGGGACACTTGATACAATTTAGCCGAATGATTTTTCGTTAACCAGTTGCAAAGACACGGGAAGGTTGTAAAAATTTTAAAATTTTTATAAATAAATCAATACTGTATAAAATATATTTAAATATATTTAAACTAATAAATAAATAAATTATATATTTACGAATTAAATTAGGAAATATGGGATCTTTGCTAGGAAAATGACCCTTCGAGGCAATATTGATTTTGTGAATAGAAATTAAATATGCCGGCCATCTAGTTATCGAATTTGAATGATCTTTGATCTTTTTTTATTTGTAGAGCTCATTTAGCTCCATAAAATAAATTTTTATTCACAAAATCAACATAGCCTCGGAGGGTCATTTTCCTAGCAAAGATCCCACATATAATAATAAATTAAATTCCTATTATGAAACAGCTGTAAAAAGAAGAGAAAATTCTGAAATCAGTTCTAATAGGACCGGACCGGGTATTACCCGGGCGGATCTTCGTGTGGGTCCGAACCCGTATCGATTCTAATAAATCAAGAGTTCGAACTCGGTCCGTCAACGGACCGGACCGAACCCGGACCGGACCCGGATCTTTTGCGAAACACTACATTTAACCGTTTAACTTGGCCAGCATTAAGATAATTCCGGCCCACGACCTACATAATTCTGCCCGGAATTATGGTGTAATTTTTAAACGGTTAAACGGTTCCAATCCCTAGCTTATAAGCCAACCTTTTTAGTTTCGATGATAAACTTACCACGAATGCGCTACACTGTACCCGATAATGTATGGTCATTCGGATTTCAGAACAATGTTTCCACAAATTTTGATATGAAAAGCACCTTCAGCATATAAAGTGTGAAAAAAATGCAGTGAAAAAAGCTTTAGAAAAGTTTGCTAGTGAATTAAGATCCGAGAATGTAAGCCAGTTCTTATATTTAATCACATTTTTTATTCAAGTAATGATTAAAGTTAATACAAATATAGATCACGAATAGTTTGATAATCAAAAGAGGAAACACGCATAAAGAACTACTCAACACATGCAAATCTATAAAGCCTGATGTCCTATTGATGTGCTATTCTAATAATGACTATTGCCGTCATAAACTCACCAATTTATTTAATTTATTTGACCGATCAATCGTAACTTATGAAAAAAAACCATCCCAAATATTCCTGCAGTGATTTATAATGATGATAACGATCAAGATGCCAAATATTGCTCATTCTCAAAATTTTATTCTTCAAATGAGTGTCGCTAAAAGAAAACCCGAAAATTTAAATATGACTTATATTTAAATTTTCGGTTTTCTTTTAGCGACACTCAAATACAAAATTTTCAAGTGCCCCAGACTTATGAAAACAGCTGTAAAATGGCTTTGTCAGGTTCATATTGCAAGTGTGATTTGATTATTTTGAATGTAGATTTTTTTTAATCATCTCTAACTCAACGCAAATTAACTAAAAAAAAAAAGAGAAAGAAAGACGAATAATCACTAATAAATCTTGATTCATACAATATATATATATTATGTATTATATACTTATAGCAATTAATAGTATATGCTTATAACAATTAAAAAAATAAAATCTATCACACCATTTAATGGTGGATTTAACATCTCATTAGTAAGATAAAATCTAATCTAAATATTTGTAAATTATCTTAATTAAAAACATATAATAATTAATGTGTCTTGCTAAAAATTTTATATACAGTCAGACCTCGATATAATCACCAGTTTCGGAAACAAACATTTGGTGATTATAAAAAAGTGTGACTATATAAAGGTCCAATTTTATATGTTTTATAATGTCTAGGACTAAAAAATAGTGTGACTATAACAAGGTTGTGACTATATCAAGAGTGACTATAACGAGGTCTGACTGTAATTTTAAAATAATATCGTTTATGCAAAAACAATAAATCCAGTTACCAATGTTAAAAGTATAAAATCTAATAAAATTTTGTGAATTGCAATTTTTTAAAACAAACCTGAATAACAAACCAAGGAATATTTTCTATAAATATATTAATCGTAGTTTTCCAAAATCTTTGTTTTTTAGTAGCATCAGAAAATGGGGCATTAAAAAATCCAATTCCGGTAAAATTTGAATACAAACACTAATAATGCAACATCCAACATCGAAAGTATAGTAAATATCAGAAAATCAATATAAATTATATAGTATTATTTATCGACTATCAATGTAATGACGCAAAAAATCTGGTGGCTTCGTGATTTCTGAAACTATGAACCAAGAAAAGATGTCTGTTGCACACAGCTTTTTATTTAATCATATCTTATTGAAAAGTCTGAATCTTGGTCACAAGTCCTCTGAAGATTTTCCAACCTGATTTGTCTCGGAGATTATAGGATCTCCAGATTTTTGCACCATTAATTAACCATTAAATAAAATTTAAATTTTATACGATACCTTAATGTCTGATCCATTAGATGATATACCAGAATGTCGATGTCCATTGGTAATAAAAGGGCCCATTTCTTTTTCTTTTTCTCAACATTCGAATTTGTTAAGAGTGTGTTTAAATATCATTCCCATTTTTTATTACAAACGAGAAAGGGCCGTTACTGACTTCACAAAATAAAAACTCCCATTGTGTGT